GATATTCTTTGAATAGCTATCCAGTCTTATAATTTATCTACTTCTCTGTTGAGATATTTAGGACATTTATCTTGCTATTATAATTTTCCAGTGAGGTTTTTTTTTTTTTTTTTTTTTTTTGTATTTTAGGCAAGGGTCTACACAGTGTTCAGGGTCTCACTACTAGAACAGACTTGTAGTGATCCACCTGTTTACAGCCTCCCAAGTGCTGGGATTACAGGCGTGTGCCACTGTGCCCAGTCTCAGTTGCTATCTTAGTGTGCCCTGGGGATGAGGCCTACAAGGGCAGGCTCGGGGATTGAACCCCCGGCCCCTGTGCCTGCTTGCAGGCACTTTAATCCACTGAGCTATTTGGCCAGCCCCAAGTGAGTATTCCTGTACCTCATGTTTACTCTCATTTAAGTCATTTTCCAAATTTATTTCTAGAACAAGCCAAAGTCTTTTGTGTGTGGTGGGGGAAGGGGTAACTGAGGCTTGAACTCAGGATGGGCTATGGTACCCCCAAACTCTGGTAAGCTTAGATCCTGATCTGTATCATAATCTGTGCCCTTCCTCCCATTGACAGCATGGTGTTTTTCATCTTTTTAAGAAGCCACAAAGGAAGGAAAATCCTCTACTTTATTCTTTTTGGGCTTTTATTTCTGCAGGCTGAGCAATACCCCCAGTCTCAAATAAGATGGGATCTTGTTTCCCAGGCTAGCCTTGAATTGCCAAGGGTCAAGCAGTCCTCTTGCCTCAGCCTCCTGAGTACCCAAGATTGCAGGTGTTTTGCCACCTTGCCTGGCTTGAACACTGTCTTTAATTAAGCTCATTAATGTTCTTGCAGCTATATTGAAAATGCTTTCTAGGACTTATGGTTTCTGCTCATGTTGCTAGAGCATGTGGAAGTATATTTTCTTCCTAACTCAGTTCTGACCAGGACAGTACCCCCAAGGGCCAAACATATTCTTACCATGGAAATACTTCGGGGGCAAAGATTGAAGTCACACAGAATTGTCTGGTCTATTGTGATTTGTGGATTCACTGTGCCAGTGTGAATAGTCCAAGAATTAAGTTAGAAAAGCATGCACTTGCTAACAGGCAAGTTGTCGGGAGCCATGGGAGAACTGTCAGCTGGCACTCTGAGGACAACTTGATTAAGAGGAAAGCCAAATCTATAAGGGTGACTTTAATTAACTCAGGGTGTTCCTAGACTGCAGAATAGATTAGGAAGGGGGTGTAAAAGCTGGCAGCAGAATATCACCTTGAGAATTGAGCAGTAGTTAACTTTATTAATATTACAAAAAAGTGATTCCACTGGAGAACTAAAAGTGCTAAGGATGTAGGTAGAAAGCAGTAATTATTTAACTATCACAAGACAGTAACGAGAGGGCACCAGAAAGTAGTAAATTACCAGTCTGGCAGGTAGCCTACAGTGATCACATTGAAAAGGTACACGAGGCAGATGCCGACCCCAGCCTGTCCGGGAGTCTTGCCCTAACTTATCAGAAAAAGACAACCAGCATGGGTTACTGAAGGGTTGGAATCCACATGGATGTTTCAGGGGTTGGACTTGGTAGTGCTACTGCTAATATACTATCTTCAAATACAGAAACTGTGACTTAACACCCTCCAGAAGAGAAAATTAACCCACAGATTGAGCTGAACAGTCACAGACAGACCCCAGCTTCCAATTACTGATCCAGTGAGTCATTTTCACTTCACCTTCACTTCAAAATGTGCATAAGGCATTCTGGTGTTCTGTCAGAAGTGTACCTCGGGACTCCCTGCACTTAGTTTTATTTACTTTACTGAGTTTAGGCGTGTGTAAGCATAGCTGATATGAAAGTGGCCGTGGAGAAACATGAAGCTTGGATATGAAAGGCTGACATCACAGGGCGATGGTCTGCGGGGCCCACTGGAATTAAACAGAAGGAAGGTGCAGCCAGCTTAAAAATGTTACTTTGTCTTCTTCTGTGTTACAGCAAATGTGTCACTAAAACCAAGATCTCCCAGGCAACATCTTATAGTTTACTGAGGTCTGCTGCTGGCCAAACCAGAGGCTGGAGCCAAGTTGATGGGAAAACTAACAGTAAACATGGGTTCCTGGTGCAGGCTGAGGCAGTCAAAGGCACCGGCTTCTTGGCACTGTTAAGAGCACAGGGTTCTGTGGGCATGGGGAGGGAGCTGGTGACTGTGCACTTTTCTTGAGAGCCCTGGATGGCCAGTCTCCTCTTTTCTGGCCCTCTTCTGTGGCCACACTTGCCCATCCTTTGCTTTCCTAACACAAAACATCCCTTTACCTAGGATCTGTGCTCAGTAACCAAGGGAACAGTGGGAACAGTGACTGGCAGGCCGGCTTGAAATCATAGCTTAGAGAGAACGACAGTCCATTGCATTTGGTTGAGGGCTGTGCTAAAGAAAGCAGGCTGCGTAGCTCTTCTAGTCCAGACATCCTCAACCTTTGGGATATAGAGGGTTTCACAGCTTTTTTCTCGGCTTTGGTATAATTTTGATGTCCATGATTAAGGGCTACATGGAGGCTGCAGGAACCAAAGTGCAGAGCATCTGTTTGCAGCAGCCCTGACAGTCGTGGGGTGACCTGGTCGAGGGCTCTTCAGCTCAGGGAAGTTTTTCTAGGATCCGATGATGGTTCAGAGGCATCAGTGGCATGCAGTGGAGCTGGGTTTGGAGGCTGTGCCAAATATTTGGATAGAGCTGGCATCTTTGATGTCAACAGAGACAGAGTATCAAAATTTGCTGCTGGTGGTGTAGATCCCGGTGTAGGTCCTGGTGTAGATCTCGGTGCAGGTCCCGGTGCAGACCTCGGTGCAGGCCTCGGTGCAGGTGAGGATGAAAATGAAGATGGCATCAGTGTTTTCACTTTACTCTCGAGGCCTTTAATGCGCCAATTATTATCTTCAACCATCAAGAGAATTTTCTGAAGCAGGGCCTCAGAGGTGTCTGTTGTCTTCTGCAGTTTTGAGCTGGGCGGTTGGCAGATTCTCTGGGAGAGCCGTTGGAGCACCTCCTCAACAGTGTCCTCTAGCGTCCTGGATGCCTGGCTGGAGCTGGGCTGCTCCACCCCTGCTTTCCTCTTTGGGATCTTGTCCATCCTCCTGGGTATCTCTTCCATTCCAACACGCAGCTTAGGGGCCTGTGACTTCATGAGAACAGCAGAACCAGCCTTAAAGGAAGAGGAAAGCCCATGAAGACGGACAGGAGAGCCAGGGGTTTGTCCTATAGTTGTCACTGCTTCTGCTTAGGAGTATTGGATGGTGTTTTGTCTCCTAATTTTGTTCGCATATTTACATATTGAAATAAATATATTATTTCACATGTCATTACTTTGGATTTCATTTCAGGTAGAAAAAGAGTTACAAAGTATTTAAATATTACTGGTTCTAGGATTTTCTTTAACTCCACTTAAAGCTAATAAACTAGGGTGTTGCTATCTATGGATGGTGGTAGAAGATATTCTTGCAGTAGACACAGAGCCTTTACTATGCTAATATTCCAAATGCTTTTTATTATTTTATGAAGTATAAGTAGTAGATTGTTAAATTTCAATTAATACCTATTTTGTGGGTGAGAAAACATGCTAAAAGCGGTTAAGTATCTTAAACAGGTTTGTGGAGCTATTATGGGATGGGTGGGACAGGATACCAGTATCTCTGAGCCCATCTGTTTTCCTAACACTTAGGGTCCCTGTTTGTAGCTCGCCACCAAAGCACATGCCTGTGATCTCATTGCTCAGAAGGCTGAGGCAGGGGGAATCACTTGAGCCCAGGAGGTTGGGGCCAGTCTGGGTAGCAGTGAAACACCCTTCCTTGGTAGCAGAAAAATGGGGTGTGTGTGTGTGTGTGTGTGACTTGTTAGCTAGAGAAATATGTTCATATATTTAGATTGCCTTTTTTTTTTTTTTTTTTTCTTTTTTTGGCAGAACTGGGGATTGAACTCAGATCCTTGCGTTTGCCAGTCAAGCGCTTATCCTACTGAGCCATCTCCCCGGCAAAATATGTTCATATATTTAGATCAAAATTTTTTTAGTTGCATTTTGTATTCTAAGTTTTGATATCAGATTCTGATGGAAGTATTAAAATTTATATTTATAGCCTTAGTTGTTTAAAATCTATTTTTTAAATTATAATTATCAAAGTATAAAATTACATGTTACTTTTTTTGGTATCTTATGGAAGGGCTTACAGGGTGTTCAGGATCTCACTACTAGATCAGACCCATAGTGATCTGCCTGTTTACACTCTCCCAAGTGCTGGGATTATAGGCGCGCCCCACCACGCCCAGTCTCAGTTGCAGTCTCAGCGCCTCAGTGTGCCCCGGGTGTGGGGCTGGCATGGCAGGCCCGAGGATTAAACCCCCAGCCCCTACACCTGCTTGCAGAGTAATCTGCTGAGCTATTTGGCTGGCCCTAAAATTTTATTTTTCTCTTTAAAATAAAAAATAGCTGAACATGGTGCTGCATACCTATAATCCCAGTACTTGAGAGGCTGAGGCAGGAGGACCCTTGCGAGTTCAAGACCAGCCTGAACTGCACAGTAAGATCCTATCTCAAAAAAGACAAAACATAGGGCCAGAGATGTAGCTCAGTGGCACAGCACCTTCCCAGCAAGTGTGAGGCCCAGAGTTTGATTCCTGACACCAAAAAAGAAAATAGAAAAAAAAAAAAAAAAGCCCTTTGGGGGGAACTTAAAGACACATAATATAAATAAAATCACAGACTTATATAAGGCTATAATTTACATATTTCAAAGAAATTTGTAAGTTCAGGAATTATTATTGTATAAGCCATCTCAGGGAGTTGGTGTTCATGTGACATACCTTACAGCTATAAACTCAGAAGCAGGTAGGCCTAGTATACTTTAACTTTTTCATTCTCTGCTTTTCCTTCCTGCTTACTAGCAGTCACGTTTCTGTCCATCTCCCACAGAAAGCACTGGTGATGCCGCCATCAGATTGCTGCCCCCTGCCACCCCTCTCACCGACTGTCCTTGTCCCCACAGTGCGGCTTCCTGCTGTGGTGTATGGCCCCAAGCCCTTCGAATGGGGCTGAGCTTCTCTACAAGCGCATCATCCGCCCGATCTTCCTGAAGCATGAATCCCAGGTAGACAGTGTGGTGAAGGACCTGAAAGACAAAGCCAAAGAAACTGCAGATGCCATCACTAAGGAAGGTGAGGCCCAAGGACACATTGGTTCATCAGGTGGAGATGGGAGGAGCATTGGGCTCAAACAACAGTAAGGCTTCCTGGCCACCTCTGCCTCGCTGCGTTCCTCAGCTGAGCGCCAGGCCACACAAAGGGACTTCTGTACAGGAGTTTGCCTGGTTGTCCTTCACTTCCCCCAGTTCTTATTTCCTGACACATTAGCAGGCAGCATACTAAGAAAGGTGGCTTTCTTAATAGAGGCAAAGATATTGGAGAATCATATTTATATATAACTATATCTTTAAAATATATATTTTAGTCTTTATTTGGTACAGGGTGTCACTATGCAGCTCAGACTCATAGTGATCCTCCTATCTCAGCCTCCCCAGAGTTCGGATTAAAGGCATGGGCCACCATACCCAGTATAACTATAATCTTTAATTCAATTCAGGTGGATCTGTTTAGTGTATTGAATAGTTTCTGTTATAGAGCCAAAAGAATATTCTCAGCTCCTTTACTCATTCAAGTATTTACTGTGGTATTTAATATGGGCCAACCATGTTCCTAGCATTGGCAATCCGCCAAAGAGACCATCCTCCTTTATGCTTACAGTTTAGATGAGATATGGTCTAGTCCAATAGGATCAAAGTGTGACCTATTTATCAGAAAAGAAAAAGCAGACGCATACTGAGTACCAGGGACTAGAGTTAGTCTTAAACAGGCAAATTAGGAAACTCTTACCAAGAAGGCTGTACTAAATGTAGTAAAGAGAGGAGCAGTGGGGAAGAATGTTCCAGAAAGAGGTGCACATGCAAAAGGCCCAAGGTAGGAGCAGTAAGGAAGTGATCCAGAAAGATAGGACAAGGAGACAAGGTCAGAGAGGTGGGGCGGGGGCTGGAGCACAGCCACTCGCTTTTGGCTTTTTGTGTAGGTGAGGTGAATGTAAAGTACTTTCAGAGCAGCGTGAGCAGAACAGCAATGTAGTCTTCCTTGTTTCAAGATCACTGTGGTCCCCATTCTAAGAATGGATTTAGAAAGGTAGACACTGGGAAACTAGTTAAAAGGTAATCCCACTAACCGGCTGGAGAGGATAGTCTCTTAGTGTATAGCAGCAGCAGTGGGGGTAGGAGATACCAATAGCAAAAAAAAAAAAAAAAAAGAAAGAAAAGAAATACCAATAGCATTTCCTTGTGGGTCAGGCCTGGCATCAGAGAGGTCAGTCAAGGCCCACAGCAAGCTTTCCAGTCTCAGTGGTAGGGTGAGAGAATGGACATTGAGCTGTGGAAAAGCGGGCAGTGTGGGCTCAGGTGCAGGAGGATACAGAATGCAGCACAGGACACATGTTTAAATTGCATATCAGATACATACAGCCAGTGGGACGTAGAGATCAAGAGTGTGGTGGTGCATGCCTATAAACCTAGTACTGCGGAGGCTGAGACAGGAGAATTTCCATGAGTTTGAGGCCAGCCTAGGGTACATAGTCAATTCAAGGCCAGCCTGAACTGCAAAGTGAAACCCTGTCTCAAAAAGACAAGGAAAAAAGATCACAGGGAATTAAAGTAACAGATTGACATTAAACATTGGAGATACTCGATTAGGAACTAGAATCTTTAAGAAATGAGTCAGGACTAGGAAAAGACTAATGGGTGATATAATCTGAGGGTGTGAGAGTCTGAAGGAGGCAGCAAAGACAACAGCCAGTGCCTACCAGATCTCCAGACCAAGGGGTACTAGGGTCACGGGAGAAAAATCCAGCTGCAACTGGAGCAAGAACTTCTTTGGGGACAGTGAGATTCTCTGGCAGCAGGAATATGTCCTTACTTATAGCTTTCACTTCCTCACACTCCAGGAGCTCCAGTTCCAGAACTTTCTTTTTTGTTCCTCTTCGCCCTTGGCCTTGCCAGGAGCCTGTGCGGACGTCATTTCTGTCTCATTCCCCACATTTCATAGCCTCCCGGCCTTGTGCACAGCACTCAGCAGCTGGTGTAACGTGATATGACACATTCGGAAGCTGGCATGAACTAAGAGCAGCATTGGTGTTGGCACATTTTCAACATTCTTTTTTTTTTTTTTTTTGCGGAACCACGGATTGAACTCAGACCCTTGCGCTTGCCAGGGAAGTGCTTATTCCACTGAGCCATCTCCCCGGGCCCTAAGCTTCTGGACTTAGGAATTTTATCCCTAGGGCTAGTTGAGGGGTACAATTTCTTCTTTGTACCTTTGTCCAGCAGTCCTATCGAGGAAAAGGAAAGCAGCTGTCGCTTTGGCTCTGAGACTGAGCTCTGTCAGAAACAGCTGCGACCTGCAGACCCTCACTGGAGACTGATAGCCCCCTCCATGCCAGCGTGGCATGGCTCTTACGTGCACTCCAAGCTGCTGCTTCTCAGGGGTGCCCACAGTGAGGAATGTAAATCTCCAGTGTTGGGATGAGCCTTTCTCTGATTTTGTCAGCATAGGACAGAGAGTACAATTTAGTTCTCAGATTTTTTTTTTTTTTTTTTAATTTAATACAGGGTCTACAGGATCTACAGAGTCTCACTACACAGATCACATTTGTAGTGATTCTCCTGTTTTTAGCCTCCCAAAGTTCTGGGATTACAGACATGGGCTACCTCCCCACCACACCCTGTCTCAATAGCTATCTCAGTGTGCCCCTGGGGCTGGGCCAGCATGGCACACCAGGGATCGAGCCCCAGCCTCTGTTCTCTGCCTAAGCAGGTGCTTTAGTCTGCTGAGCTATCTGGCTGGCCCTTTAGTTCTCTGATTCATGAATACTGAATTTTTTTTTTTTTTTTTTTGGCCATAGCATTTTCCCCCCCTGCTTCTGGGGATCAAACTTACAACCTTGCACTTGCCAGGCAGGTGCTTATGCCACTGAGCTAAATCCCCAGAAATCTTTTTTTGTACCTTTGACTTTGCACTTGTGAGGCAGGTCCTTGTGCTGCTGGGCTATCTTCCTGGCTGCGGTTACTGAAATGTTAAAGAGCAAGTACCTAAATACAGATGAGAGTTTGACAATATAAAGGAACACTATGACTGTGGAATCTGCTACTTTGGATGCTTCCAGAACAGAGGTCAGGAAGCTTAGGTGACACGGTCACACAAGGCTCAATAAATTTTGCTCAAATCTGTAGCATCTGTGCTCTGAAAAAATTCCTTGTTCATTTCCTGGAAGCCCTCCTCCGCCTGACCACAAACCTCAGTGCACTCTCATCTGCCCTTCAGTCATCTGTTCCATTGTCTACTGGCCACATTAGACGCAGAGCTTGTATTGCAGAGTTTTGACAACATTTCTTTTCCCTCTAACAGCCAAGAAGGCTACAGTGAACTTACTGGGTGAAGAAAAGAAGAGCACCTAGACCCTGTGCTGCTGGCGCTTTCCTGCCCTCCCCGCGCCCTCCTCGTAGAGCTTGAGGTTATGTCAGAGACTGCGGTGTAACTGTTTTGATAATGCTGCCTTGGAAACTTTTTTGATATATTAAAATGCAGTGTATTGTAAGTTGTCTGTATACATAGGAAGCATTTAATTTAAATTTAATGCGGTAGGCAATATCTAAATTTTTGAAAATATATTTTGCCTCTGGGTAGGAAAGACATGTTACTATCCTGCAGGAAATATAAAGTAAAATAAAATTATGTATCCCACAGGCTCTGTACTTCTCTGGGGTGACTGCATGCATTTTCTCTGTACTTAACGTTTAATCAAATCATGTAATATACAATTCCATACAGCTTGTCAGTATTTTCATGCATTTACGTACAGATAGAGAAAAGTCACTGAGGCTTTCGTGTGCATACTGCTCCCGAGGAAGGAGCCAAGGGGGGTGTGCATCCATGTATAAATTCTCCACAGTGAGACCACCTGCCACAGTGGGAGGTACCATTCTGCAGGTGTGATCTGCTGATACTTCAGGAAAAGATACAAATTAGTAATAGCCAAGCAAAGAGAGATGAGCTTGAATGGAGGCCGGCCAGCATACTTTCCTGACACTGTAGTCCTGAACCCTGGGACAGCTCTGTGGAGCAGTCAGTCTGTGGCAGGTGGGGAGCATATACACAGGGTCCGTCTGTAGCTCCCGACTCCCTGCAGAAATACAGTACCATCCCACCTATGTAAGCTTTGGGTGTGTGTTTTTAAGATGCCATGAAGGCCATTCCTGGCTTTACCTTTATAGTCAAGTAATACGTTGTTTTAGTCTGCCACCCCCATCCTGTTTAAACCAGTTTAAGAAAGCCCTCTTCCACCTCGATACCACAGCTATTCTTATGTCATTAGCAGCAGCATGACCATGACACACCCGCCTAAGGGCAGCTCTAGGACAGTGGAAGGAGCGCAGATAAAGCTGAGCCTGGCTGGAAGTGGTCGGAAGCTGCTTTCACTTACTCCCTGCATTTTAATGTCAGAGTTGAGGCTTCCATAGTTTACATGTCAGAATTATTTTTTAGTCCATTTAAATGCCTCCAGGGCTGGGGAGATGGCTTAGTAGAATAAGTGCTTGCCTGGCAAGTGCAAGGCCCTGAGTTCAATCCCTGGTACGGGGGGGGGGGGGGGAAGCCTCCATCTTTGTTTTCATAAATTACATATGACTACATTAAGTACAGAATAAAAAAATAATGTCTTCAACTTTATTGGAGATCAAGTCTCCAACTTTATTTCCTAGACATCTGGAATAGAAATCTTAACTATATGTACATATAGAGTTACGATCCTTTAGAGTTGACTAGACTAAAACAAATGTATAATAAAATTAAGATTAAATATCCAGGGCTGAGGAGATAGCTCAGTGGTCCAAGCATCTGCCTGGCAAGCATAAGGACCCAGGTTCGATCCCTGACACTACATGCCACACTAGCCCCGAGATCAGGAGTGGTGGTGCAGGCATTCCCAGCACTGGGGAGGCTGAAACAGGAGGATCACTAGGAGTCTGAGCTGCGTAGTGAGACCCTGTACCAAATACATAAAATTAAAAACAAAAAAATTAAGTATCCAGTTAATAAAATTCTTTTAAGGCAAATAAACATTTAGCTCTTCTCCAAGTAAGTGATGCCATCACCTAAATGTAATACGGATCAGAGCACTTGGTTCCCCCCCCCAAAAAAAAGTGATGATTATTAGGTCTCTTATTAAAAAAGAATTGCTAGGGCTGGCCAAATAGCTCAGCAGATTAAAGTGCCTGCTTAGGCAGCGCAGTGGCTGGGGTTCCATCTCTGGTGTGTTGTGCCAGCCCCACCTACTGGGCTCACTGAGCCTGGGCATGGTGATGCGCACCTGTAATCCCAGCTCTTGGGAGGCTGAGACCTTGTAGACCCTGTACTGAAATACAAAAAAAAAAGTGCTTTTAGGAGGGGTGAAAAAGCCTTAGGTTAGAAAATGGTCTAAAAGTACTGCAGTTGCTGCCATTAAGTTGAAGTATGCTTTTAGCGGGACATGGTGACGTGTGCGTGCAATCTCGGCTAGTTGGGAGGCTGAGAGAGGAACATGCACTGCAAGTTCAAAGTCAGCATGGGAATTTAGCAAGACTGTCACAAAATAAAACTACAAGGGCTAGGATGGAGCTCAGGGGTAGAGCACTTGGTAGCATCCTAGTGCTGGGGAAAAAAAGTACACGGTGACAACGAAGTTAGCAACTTCTAGCATATAAAATCCTACTGTTAGTGTACAGGATTATTAGGATGGGGTGGCATGAAGTGCTGCTAATATTTACAGGTTAATCAAATAGTAAAATATGAATGCAGGTTGTTTTGTTGCCTAAATACCACAGCTTTTCATATTCATAAGAAATTCTCTGAGTTACTTTTTGGCAGTTTAAGTGTACATTAATGGCTAAAGTTATGATTTGAGTAATTCTGTCTGTGTAGATTTCCCAAATAAAATATTGCCATTATCTGGCTGGAAGACAAAGCATTTATTTGTACATGAATAGTATTTCAAGGGTATGTGAAATCATGGAATTTCTCCGAAACACCTGAAAGTCTGCACAATGAAAGAATTCCTGCAGCACTTCTCACAAGCTCATTCGGATCCACAGATTAATGCCACTGTAGCAAAAGGCTTCTGCCACAGTGTCACTGCAGACAGTGCCCATGGGCTTGAAAGTCAGTGATCTACCCTGAGGGTAGGATGGGCTGAAGAGAAGCCCATGTACATGCCCCCTTCCCAGAGGTCCTATGTGCTGGACTCTGATTTCTGAAGCTGAAGATAGTACTGACAGCATTAAATTCTCTACAGATATACTGCTTTTGCTCTCTGTAAGTGACTGGAACAATGTGCAGCAGTAAGCCAATATGGTCTTAATATCTTACCCTGCTGTCCTGTACTTTATGATTAGTTGAGTAATTGAAACCAAGGAAGATGAAACTGCAGATAAGAGGGCTACTCAGCAGTGTTTACTGGTCATTTATGTTTTAAATTTTTTCTCAAATAATCCTAGGAAGAAATATACAAAATAAGATGAAATATAATTGTCAAATGAGACCTAGGTTTTATTAACCACATTCCTCACCTGGCTTGAAATTTTTCCCTGGCGATTACTGCCAGGAAAAGACTCCCTAAAGGACGTATGGCAATAAGAAAGGTTTCTATCAATAACCTTAGATTTAATGGAAAACTAAACCACTGCTTTCCATCTGCATATTGCATTACATACAAAGTAGTCTCATGACTTAAGATAGTGTATGGCCTCAATACGGATATAGCAGACTTTATATAGGCCTCCATATTATTACGAACCCTTTTTTTGTGGTACTGGAGATTGAACTTGAGACCTTGTACTTGCCAGGCAGGAGCTTATACCATTGATCTATCTCCTCAGTCCTTATTGTGGACCTTCTACTTTTTATTTTTAATTTTTTATTTACCTATTTTGGCCTGCTCAGACTGCCCTGAGGGTATGGCTGGCGTAGCATGTGGTGCTGGGGATCGATCCTCTGTGGCTGCCTGAGCTTTCCTAAGCAGGCGCCTTAAACTACTGAGCCATCTCCAGGGAAGCGTTTATTCTTCTGAGCCATCTCCCTGGCTCCCCCACTTTTTTTTTTTTTTTTGTGGAACCAGGGATTGAACTCGGGGCCTTGCGCTTTTCAGGGAAGCGCTTAAAATGATCGTTTTCTTCTTTCTTTCTTTTTTTTTTTTTTGGTGGAACCAGAGTTTGAACTCAGGCCCTTGC